ATTTTTTACATTGAAATTCATGAAATTTTTACTAAATAATTTATTTTTATATTTAATATGCTAGAAAATATGCTATACGCTAAACATCAAATAAATAAGCTAAACAACATAAAAATATGCCAAATCTAGCATAAAATAAGCTAAATTGGCAACTCTGCCCAACACCAGAGCTGACAACAAACGAAGAAATAAATATTGAAGAAAAAGAGAGAAAGGGAGCATTAAGGAAAGTAAAGAATAGAAAATAACCAGGAGAGGACAGAATACCAAACGAACTTCTAAAATACGGAGGACCAGATCTGACCAAACAACTGTTAAAACTTATCCAAAAAATATGTTTTCCTGTCAAATCAATTCTTTTATTTTATTGTCTAGTTCCGGCCAATGTTTTAATATTATTTCACCAACTTTAATCGCATTTAAACGTGAATCATTTTTATTTTTAATTATGGCCTCAAAAGGACCTGTATCGGTTTGTAAATGTTTATACTTAATTCGAGTGTTTACTTGTAAACGAGTTTTTATTTGCCATCGATAAATTGTCTTTTTCAGGTGAAATATATTTATTTTTATCTATTTTATTTTCTCTATTTGTCAAGTTTATGAAAAAATCTCCTATATTAACGAGTGATATGGAATACTAGGTAGTACTAGGTAATACGGAAGAAGAAATTAACAAATTGAAAATGAAGTGGGTATGCAAATCAACACAATAAATGGTAAAATTATGGTAATTAGTGGATCAAAAGAAAGATATCCTGCCTTGGTGGAATGGAGATTATGTAATTTATATCTTCTTCATATGCCATATCCATTTCGAAGTTTTACATAATCATTACTATTTGGATTTTAGATACAGGTGATATTTTACATAAAAAGTTGGATAAAGATATTTTCATTACTTTTAACGATTTTGGTTGTTTTTTTTCTTTAATATAACGTAAAAAACATCTAATAGTAATAATAATAATATCCATAAAAGAATATCCATAAAGCAACTTGGATATCACCAAATGGACACACCACAAATCAAATTGACCATGTTATAATTGACAGAAGGCACTTTACAAATGTAAGGCTTCGATTGGCAAAGGTTAAAAAAGTTATTTCAAATCCTTTATAAAAGGTATGTAATAAAATGCCCAAACGGGCTATCACAATTACATTACAAAACGTTTTCGGATTGTTAAATCCATCATCAGTGTAAACGAGGTATAAATGCTATGAGCCACCAAAATATATGGGTCAAAACCCTTTAAATGTTATAAATTTACAGTTGTTTTCGAATTCAAATTTCGAGTATATACAAGAAACACCATGAGAGTCGCCTGAAGAATGATCAAGGAAACTACGTTCATACACAGAAAGAACTTGCTAAAATCTGGGCAAACTATGCTTCGTCCCTTTTTGCATGCGGATAATCTGGCAACTACTAACTTACCCCCGGAAAATTTATCCGGCCCTCCCATTATTCGCGCCGAGGTGGAGTACGCTAAGTACTGCTATAAAAACCAGGCAAAGCCTCTGGACCGGATGGAATAATTACTGCGGAAGCCATAAAACTGTTGGAAGATGATAACATCGACATGCTGGTAACAATTTTCAATGCCATGTATAACACCGGTCACATTCCAACGTCTGGCCTTAAGATAATTCGAAAATGCACTATGGGTGCACGGCACTATAAGAAGAAGAAGAAGAGCGAACGCCGCTATTCTCAACACCTCCTTAATCGATATATGTTATGTTATGAGTTAATAAATAATTTAAGGGTTTTGTTCTCCTAACGCTATACTCTTGATACTTTTTGATCTGTTGTTATAAAAAAATGTTTATAGCTTTGATTCATGAGGTTTTTCATATGTGCATGCTGTGTGGTGTGTGTGTGTGTGTGTGTGTGTGTGTGTGTGTGTGTGTGTGTGTGTGTGTGTGTGTGTGTGTGTGTGTGTGTGTGTGTGTGTGTGTGTGTGTGTGTGTGTGTGTGTGTGTGTGTGTGTGTGTGTGTGTGTGTGTGTGTGTGTGTGTGTGTGTGTGTGTGTGTGTGTGTGTGTGTGTGTGTGTGTGTGTGTGTGTGTGTGTGTGTGTGTGTGTGTGTGTGTGTGTGTGTGTGTGTGTGTGTGTGTGTGTGTGTGTGTGTGTGTGTGTGTGTGTGTGTGTGTGTGTGTGTGTGTGTGTGTGTGTGTGTGTGTGTGTGTGTGTGTGTGTGTGTGTGTGTGTGTGTGTGTGTGTGTGTGTGTGTGTGTGTGTGTGTGTGTGTGTGTGTGTGTGTGTGTGTGTGTGTGTGTGTGTGTGTGTGTGTGTGTGTGTGTGTGTGTGTGTGTGTGTGTGTGTGTGTGTGTGTGTGTGTGTGTGTGTGTGTGTGTGTGTGTGTGTGTGTGTGTGTGTGTGTGTGTGTGTGTGTGTGTGTGTGTGTGTGTGTGTGTGTGTGTGTGTGTGTGTGTGTGTGTGTGTGTGTGTGTGTGTGTGTGTGTGTGTGTGTGTGTGTGTGTGTGTGTGTGTGTGTGTGTGTGTGTGTGTGTGTGTGTGTGTGTGTGTGTGTGTGTGTGTGTGTGTGTGTGTGTGTGTGTGTGTGTGTGTGTGTGTGTGTGTGTGTGTGTGTGTGTGTGTGTGTGTGTGTGTGTGTGTGTGTGTGTGTGTGTGTGTGTGTGTGTGTGTGTGTGTGTGTGTGTGTGTGTGTGTGTGTGTGTGTGTGTGTGTGTGTGTGTGTGTGTGTGTGTGTGTGTGTGTGTGTGTGTGTGTGTGTGTGTGTGTGTGTGTGTGTGTGTGTGTGTGTGTGTGTGTGTGTGTGTGTGTGTGTGTGTGTGTGTGTGTGTGTGTGTGTGTGTGTGTGTGTGTGTGTGTGTGTGTGTGTGTGTGTGTGTGTGTGTGTGTGTGTGTGTGTGTGTGTGTGTGTGTGTGTGTGTGTGTGTGTGTGTGTGTGTGTGTGTGTGTGTGTGTGTGTGTGTGTGTGTGTGTGTGTGTGTGTGTGTGTGTGTGTGTGTGTGTGTGTGTGTGTGTGTGTGTGTGTGTGTGTGTGTGTGTGTGTGTGTGTGTGTGTGTGTGTGTGTGTGTGTGTGTGTGTGTGTGTGTGTGTGTGTGTGTGTGTGTGTGTGTGTGTGTGTGTGTGTGTGTGTGTGTGTGTGTGTGTGTGTGTGTGTGTGTGTGTGTGTGTGTGTGTGTGTGTGTGTGTGTGTGTGTGTGTGTGTGTGTGTGTGTGTGTGTGTGTGTGTGTGTGTGTGTGTGTGTGTGTGTGTGTGTGTGTGTGTGTGTGTGTGTGTGTGTGTGTGTGTGTGTGTGTGTGTGTGTGTGTGTGTGTGTGTGTGTGTGTGTGTGTGTGTGTGTGTGTGTGTGTGTGTGTGTGTGTGTGTGTGTGTGTGTGTGTGTGTGTGTGTGTGTGTGTGTGTGTGTGTGTGTGTGTGTGTGTGTGTGTGTGTGTGTGTGTGTGTGTGTGTGTGTGTGTGTGTGTGTGTGTGTGTGTGTGTGTGTGTGTGTGTGTGTGTGTGTGTGTGTGTGTGTGTGTGTGTGTGTGTGTGTGTGTGTGTGTGTGTGTGTGTGTGTGTGTGTGTGTGTGTGTGTGTGTGTGTGTGTGTGTGTGTGTGTGTGTGTGTGTGTGTGTGTGTGTGTGTGTGTGTGTGTGTGTGTGTGTGTGTGTGTGTGTGTGTGTGTGTGTGTGTGTGTGTGTGTGTGTGTGTGTGTGTGTGTGTGTGTGTGTGTGTGTGTGTGTGTGTGTGTGTGTGTGTGTGTGTGTGTGTGTGTGTGTGTGTGTGTGTGTGTGTGTGTGTGTGTGTGTGTGTGTGTGTGTGTGTGTGTGTGTGTGTGTGTGTGTGTGTGTGTGTGTGTGTGTGTGTGTGTGTGTGTGTGTGTGTGTGTGTGTGTGTGTGTGTGTGTGTGTGTGTGTGTGTGTGTGTGTGTGTGTGTGTGTGTGTGTGTGTGTGTGTGTGTGTGTGTGTGTGTGTGTGTGTGTGTGTGTGTGTGTGTGTGTGTGTGTGTGTGTGTGTGTGTGTGTGTGTGTGTGTGTGTGTGTGTGTGTGTGTGTGTGTGTGTGTGTGTGTGTGTGTGTGTGTGTGTGTGTGTGTGTGTGTGTGTGTGTGTGTGTGTGTGTGTGTGTGTGTGTGTGTGTGTGTGTGTGTGTGTGTGTGTGTGTGTGTGTGTGTGTGTGTGTGTGTGTGTGTGTGTGTGTGTGTGTGTGTGTGTGTGTGTGTGTGTGTGTGTGTGTGTGTGTGTGTGTGTGTGTGTGTGTGTGTGTGTGTGTGTGTGTGTGTGTGTGTGTGTGTGTGTGTGTGTGTGTGTGTGTGTGTGTGTGTGTGTGTGTGTGTGTGTGTGTGTGTGTGTGTGTGTGTGTGTGTGTGTGTGTGTGTGTGTGTGTGTGTGTGTGTGTGTGTGTGTGTGTGTGTGTGTGTGTGTGTGTGTGTGTGTGTGTGTGTGTGTGTGTGTGTGTGTGTGTGTGTGTGTGTGTGTGTGTGTGTGTGTGTGTGTGTGTGTGTGTGTGTGTGTGATATCAAACGATTACTGGTTCCATTATATTTCACAGAAGGTGACATTTATCTCTCCGCATAACATGTCCAAAATATTGAAGTTTTTGACTTTTGATGGTCAATAGTAATTCTTTTACTTTTCTCATTCTTCTGAGTTCCTCTGAATTTGTTATTTTATCAGTCTTGGGTATTATTCATGTTTTTCTATAAGTCCATAGTTTAGAGGCTTCTATTTTGTTGCATCTATTGCAGCTTCTATTTTTAGTTCTAAGCTCATGTCTCAACTGGTTAGTATTCTTTTCACATATGTCCCCAGATAGGTATATTTCTCACCTCTTTCAATCTGCTCAATGTTAATTTGAAGGGTAATATGTAGTAATTTATATACTCAGGTGCAAAAATAACCACCATTTAGATTTAGAAGTGTGTTTTTGTTTCAAAAATTTTATTTTTCATTTTTTTTTCAGAAAATATCTTTATATTATTTTTATATATTTTTTTATCTTTATATCAATTTTTAATTTGTTAATATTATTTCTTTTTTAGGTACTACAAATATGGCAAATTACCTTTACTGTAAGCTACATTCTCCTTAAGTGGAATTACATTTACTTGGCAGTTTTTTTTATTCAACCCATGTTATTTTCTGTTGTTACTCAACTCAAATTAGGAGTCATACCAGTATGGTTTATTTCAGGATGTGTTCTAACCATTTTAAATTACTTCAAATCCATAATTAATGAGCCAGAATTCTATAAAGAATATAATCTTAAAGATTTTGAAATTTATTTGCTCATAGCTAGCTTGTTTTGGCTTAATTTAAAATGTTCGAGTTTTTGTTTAGAAGCTGGGCATTCATCCAAAACATTTATTGATATATTTGCATATTGCTTTTATCCACCAACAGTATTAACAGGACCTTTTATTTTATATAAAAATTTCCAAGAGAATTATAATAGTTCAATATTGAATTTAACAAAGTGCAAAAAGTTTTTTAGAAACATTTTTAGGACTATGTTATGGTATCTGTGTACCTATATTTGTCTGCATTTTATTTACGTTAGTGCTGCAGCTTACCATAAACAAGTAAGTTTAAGTTATACAAATTTAACTTTAGGTTATATATTACAAGGCCGATTGGATAGCCAAGCGGGCTGGGCGGCTGGCTTCTCCTTCGCTTCAATGCGAGAGATGTCAGTTCAATCCAGAGCTTGGTGTACAGAAAACAAAAAGGCTAACGCAGCAGTTTACAATTCTAAATGAATCTGCGGCTTAGTCTAGAATATGCTGGTATTTGATCGGCCTATGGTGGAGCAGTACGGCAAGAGATAAGGGCTTGCGGCTCGGTGATACTCCTCCATAGATCCCTACCGGAAGGACGTGTGCCGCCTAAATACCAAGATTATATATATATATATATATATATATATATATATATATATATATATATATGTATATATATATATATATATATATATATATATATATTTATACATATATATATATATATACATATATATATATAATATATATATATATATATATATATATTTATACATATATATATATATACATATATATATATATTACAAAAAATAGTAAAGTTTGTTAAATATTGTTTTAAAATGGTATTAAACCACAATAATTCGCATATGCCCTCTGCATAAAAAAGGAGACAAATTGAAGTGTGACAACTATAGAGGTATAGACTTACTAGACACGGTATACAAAATCTTGGCAAGAATATTGAGAAATAAACTAAATTGCTACACAGAAAGAATCATACCTGAGTATCATGCCGGCTTTAGAAAGGACAGATCTACTGTAGACCAAATCTTCTCATTAAAAGAGATACTTGTTATGAAGATAAAGTTTTTCTGCATGTTTTGTTTGTGGATTTTAGACAAACATATGATAGAGTCGATAGAGTCAAAATGTATCGAGCAATGGAACATTTGGGTACACCAAAGAAACTGATCCGGCTAGTAAAAATGACACTAAATAACTTCACACTAAATGTGAAATTGCTTGGCAGGGTCACATACCAGATCAATTTACGGTTGCAAAAGGCTTGGGACAGGGAGATCCTTTATCCACTACATTATTCAACTTAGTTTTAGAAACTGTAACCAGAAATTGCAACATGAAGGTGGAAGAAACAATCATGAAAAATGAGCACCAGTGCTTGGCATTTGCTGACGATTTAACGATCCTAGCAAAAACCGAGAAAGAATTAAGAAGAGTTGTGAAGAAAATCATCGAAAAAGCACAGAAATTCGGATTGGAACTAAATGAAGACAAAACCAAATATATGATCATGGGAGGGACAGAAGGGAAAAAAGAAGACTTTGGTGTGAGGTCTGTAAGTGGTAAAAGCTATAGTTTTAAAAGGGTGGACAAATTTTAATACTTGGGTGTAGTTTTTGATGAAAATGGAAAAGAGAAATGTTAGCTCGAAGCCAAAATAGCAAAAGGGAATTAAAAATTAGGTAGTTTAAGAGCCTTACTTCAAAATACGTTTCTAGACAAGGTAAACTCAGAATATATAAAACAGTAATTCGACCCACAGTAACATATGCCGGTGAGACATGGATATTAAATAAGAAGGAAGAGGATACTCTGGAAAGATGGGAAAGGAAAATATTGAGACGCATATTGGCAGAAACCGCCAACAAGAAAAACTTTGCCAGGTTCAGTACTTCAGGAATGTTATATCAAAACTGAGCAAATTATTAGATCACAAGTTGTTAAAGAAGTAGAAAATATCTGTATTACTACTGACCTCTGGACATATGGAGTAACTGAGACTTACATCGCATTAACAGGACAATATTTAACCGAAAATTTAGAATTTAAAACGGTTCTATTAGGCTGCTGCAATTTTTCTGGAAACCATAATTCAGAAAATACCGCTTTTGAAATTAGTGAAATTTATTGGTGGAGGACGCACTTAAATGCTGTCGTGTACAAATAGATAAAATAAAAAGTCTTTTTTTCGAAAAATCGGCAAAAAACACATTTAAAAAAATACCTTATCTTCAGAAAGGCTTTTAAAGTATCAATTACAACATAACAAAGTTCCCAAATGGAAAGTCTAAGACGTGGAAACTAGGTAGAACTTAACATATTAGGTATATGTTAAAGAGAATGACCGAGTTAGAAGAGGCGATCCGTTCCACATTGGTATTAGTTAATACAGATTTAGACTTTGACCAAATCAACGAAGACTGGATTATTTGTTCTGAACTTTCCTAAATTGTACGTCCTTTTAAAGAAACAGCAAGTACAATGAGTGGCCAAAAATACTTGAAGGGTAGTTCAGTGATTGTTATGTTACGCTGCCTGCAAGAATCTTGCAATAAAATTTTAGCAAACGGTAACCTTACATCCATAGTATCCGACGTATTACAATTACCTACTAATATCGGGTTTAGCAAAAAGATTTAAAAGGATAGAACAGAGTGGCACATTGTCATTATGTACATTTATGGATTCACGATTTCAAGTGCAGGGATTTTCTGATAAAAATGAAGCTAAAAAACAAAAGAAAGAGTTAAAAAGCTGGTTACTTCTATAATTAAAGAACAAGAAGATTGTACTATTGAAAATCAACCAGTACAAGAAAAAGAAACCAATAAAGATGACTTGAGTCCATGGTGTATTTTTGATTAATTAATTGGACATGACTCATCTAAACGTACACATCGCCATGTATACCCTAACTTAACCACTATATTCATAAAATATTGTATGTACAAGAACACATGTTCAAAATCTGGTTTAATTTTAAATAGAAGAACACGGTTAACAGGAAATAAAGTAGAAGAACTTATGTTTTTAAATGTCAATTTAGATGATTCTTCTTCTCGATCTTCTGCAATATGGAATAATTGTCCTGCATTTGATATCTGAGTCCATTCACGAATGTTTTTTAAGCAAGAAACTTGTTTTCTTCCTATACCTCTACGGCCCTCTATTTTGCCTTTAGGGATCAGTTGTAAAATTTTGTATCGACTTCCCCTTACTATATATCCCATAGAAGACATTTTTCGATGTTTAACATTCTTCTCTGTTTAGCAGTTCTCTGTCTTTGTTGACGTTCCTTAGTACTTCTTCATTAGTTTTTCTTGCTGTCTGAGGTATATTCAGCATTCGTCTATGAACCCACATTTCTAATGCTTCAATTTTGTTCATGATCGATACTTTTAGCGTCCACACTTCAGCACTATACAAAAGTACGGACCAAACATAGCACTTAACCATTCTTTGTCTGACAATTCAATGACACATTACATTGAGTATATTCACATTTTTTTAACAAATTTGCCGGTTCCTTCCGACTAAACACACCACGTCTGCTCTTAACAAATTTTTTTTCAAAACTCACTTAAAACTGTAACTAAATATTGAACTGCTACTATATACTATACTTCCATAAAGAAAAATGAAAAACGAAAAGCCATTACAAATTTTGAAGAAAAATTCGGACTCGAATAAAACTAAACTCCTTTAACAGCGGCCGGCCTTGCCGAGAGTGATGTAGTTCTCTTCAAAAATCACGCATTCACCTAGATATAAACAAAACATAATGAGAATATTTCCGTTTGGCCCGCAAAATATCCTAAAAGCGGCTCTCGATCAAAAGTATATCGAGGAAATATTGAACATAAACAAACTTTAAAATGTGTTATTGTAAATATGTATTATAAATTTCTGCGACGCAAAAAGGATTGAAATAATATTTCGGTGTTTTAACTTATACAAGGTGATTTGAAATTCTACAGATTTGCCAAATCACCATGGATGGATATAGTGTATAATAGCATGTAAAATTGATCGTTTTATAAAAATGGGTATTCCGTTTGACAAAACGCAAGATCTGCCGAAAACATCGCCGCTGTCCATGGGAGTGTACAGAGAATCCGAGGCAGTGTATTTCACGACACTCACAAGAATTCTTCCTTTTACAGACCATAACTTGGCGATTTTTGCATTGTGACTTGGGCCTGCACTTATATAAAATCAACTGATTCAGGAGCTGAAGATAAACGACTATTGACAATAACGTGTGTTCGCTGACTCGGCGCTCGATCAGTTGAAAACTGACCCCAATTTTAATCGACAACACATCTTCAGCGATGAGACCCATTTTTGGATGAATGGGTACGTCAACAAACAAGATTGTCGAATTTGGGACTATAGCAATTCAGATAAGATCGAAGTACGTCCAATACATCCCGAAAAAGTATCTCTGGTCGAACGCAGTAGAATTAAACCACAATTATTGATTGTAATGAGAATTATATATACATTTGTTTTGACGTTTCGATTTTAAATCCGGAAATTGTTAAAAAAAATTTAAAATATTAAATGAATACAAAAGTTGGTTTAATTATCCATTAATTTTTTAGTTATTTGAAAACTTTAACGGTTGGTCCTTGTACGGTTTTGGTTATACCATGGGCCAGTTTTTTCATTTGAAATACGTGATCATGTATGGCATGAGCACAAACTGTGCAGCTTTTGAAAATATTGATGTTCCAAATTTGCCAAGATGCATTGGAAGAATACATTTATATTCGGATATGTGGAAGTATTTTGATGTTGGTTTATATACATTTTTACTAAGGTAAGTACTTTGTTTAGAAATGGGAATAAAATAATTTTGTCCTTTTTAATGCCTTTAATGCAAATTACGCATTTATCAAGTATATATTCAGTTGGATGCTCCCTCAGAATTTTAAATATCTTATTTAATAATGATCTGTCTGTTATTACAAATGTGATGTGTACACAGGACATCGTATACAGTTTATGTTAAATCGCTAATTAATTGCATGATCTTCTGGTCATATGCTATTAAACTTTGAAAAATTAAAGGCAAATATCGAGCACAATTTTAATAATCAAATCTTACCTAAGAAAGATGACGCTTTCTACAGCATCATCAGGGGCATCTGAAATAAGCCAAGAAACGTTTTTTTAAATTAAGAAAATTGACTAACTTCGATAAAAAACTCGAAGTTAATGGATGATAAAAGTTTTTTGTGATTAACGTTTTAGACTTACTTCGTCAAATTTGGGCTGTCCAGCAAGCGCAGAAAGTAATAAACACGAAAATTAAACATAAATTGTACATAACACTACACTAAAACAAGGACAAACAATTTAAAATTATTCTACGCTACATTATTGTCGGCAACAGGAGAGAGAATCGTATTTAACGGAAATCTTAAGGTGACATATGACAGCTTTGATGGGCAGTCACAATCATGGATATGTGATCTGCCACTCTGCACACATTAAAATTCTGTGTAAGTAAGCTGGCATTGACCAAAGGTCCAACTGACACTATTATAGAAAATCAGCTTATGAAATATGACTTATGAAATATTTTAATTTAACTAGATTGCATAATCCAGATTTCACACTTACACCTGTCTGTAATAATAAGGTTGTTAGTTTGAGAACAAATGAAGTGGACATAAAGTGTGAATGAAAGAAATAGACCAAACAATCTATTAGACAGTGGGTGGTTGACCACAACAAAATGGTCGACCAGGCACTATCATTACTGTAAAAAAGAGAAGAAATCTGACTATGAAATTCAAATACTAAAAATTTAAACAAAATTGAAAGCAGTGTATAAATGGGGTATAATTCAAGTAGTTCAGTTAAACCCCAGTCAATGGGAGAACTATAAAATTAATATGTAAAAGCGTTACTAAATAGATCTATAGATCAATTGAACCTGAGCAAGCTAGTTTTGTAAATTGTTGAAGAATACAATAGTAATGTTGATGAATGTAATGATAATAATGTTAATGAAATTAACAAGTCGGTCTTGTAGAGACAAGGTTTGAAAAAGTCGGTCTTGTAGAATAGAATAGAATAGAAATATGCTTTATTGTCACTGAAAATTATTGAACAATTTTATGGACAAAGCTAAAAAATAAATCAGTCAAATAATACAAATAATACAAAAAGTATAAAACAAAAACAATATAGTAAAAAACAGAATAACACAATTATAAATTAGTAAAATTATTGTATAACCTACATAATTTGTACAGACAACAACAAATGAGACAAATTGTAGCCACTGCTTGAGACACCCAAATGTAATTATAAACAATACTAATTTTGTTTCTTTGTTATACATTAAGAAACTCGTCAACTGAATAATATGGTCTTTCTGAGAGATAGATTTTTGTCACCTTACGAAACTTAATGAAGGATGTTGCGGATTTAATTTCTCTTGGAAGGTGATTATAAAGTTTCTTTGCACGATATAGAATAGAATTCTTTACTAGCTGAGTGGACGGGATCGGCAAATAAACGTTACAATCCGAATTTCTAATGGAGTAGCCATGGTCAGGTCTATCGGGAAAAATGTTTAGATGCTTTCGAATCAAACAAACCGTTTCCAAAATAAATAAAGAGGGAAGCGTCAAAATTCCGTGATTTTTGTAGAATGTTTTTCAATAATCTCGGCCTTCGTTTTTGTGCGCCTGGTAGAATGTTGATGCTGAAAAAGTCCGATTCTTCATCTAGCGTTTCTTTATAAAATAACTTAAAAGGTTCGTCTCGCTTGCACCTAAGCCACTGTATTCTTAACCACGATATTGGCTCATTATCGCAATTCACTTTTCTTTGTGTGATTGCTTTTTTGAGATTGCAGGCCCTTTTAAAATCTTCGGTAACCATCTGTGTAAAGTGGAACGATTTATGTCTTCGTGCCTTCATTATGATAGAATACCAATCGTTTGGAACATAAATTGCCTTTCCTCTGGAGTAAGTTTCTATTGATCCAAAGTCTGCATTGTTGGGTAGGTAGGAATGACCACTCACCATAAACTTTAGATCAATTGTTTCCGCCTGATTGGTGTCACTAAGTACTATCTTTAATAAGGATAAGGCAACGTTCCAGTTCCTATTTTGTTCGGTGCAAGTATCACTGTAGGCAACAATATGCTTAAAGTGCGAAGCGCGTGTTTCAATGTGCTTAACTATACACGATGCGATTTCCTGCGAACCTCGAGAGGCAAGCGTCTAATCCCACCCATACATGAAGCCTAAACCAGTTGAAAGTTCGTGACAGCCAAAGTTGTAAACGTACATATTGCGTTTCTAGTACGCTGTGGACGTACTGAGCTTGGGAAAATCGAGAGCCTTTTCTAAGTCAAACGTAAAAGAGTAATAGGATTCATCATTCTGGGCTTTTACTTTATCAGACTTAATTGACGTTCGAGCACGCTCTGCTTTCCGTAGATGTAGTTCATGTTGACTTTCTAAATTACGTAATTCTATGTCGTCGGTCAAGATAGATTTTATAGATATCACATTTACTACACGTGTCTACAGTGTAGGTAAAAGTTTATGGTCGGTATTTTAAAATTTAACAGGATATCTAACACAGATATAAAATCATATTTTCAGCGAATAGACAAAGAAAACAAATATATTTCCCCTTTGTCTTCCCTCCACATTTTTTAGACACACCTATTAATGAACGTCTTACGAATTTTCGATCCAGCTTAGCTTATACGCGACAGGGTTGTCTTATTACATATTTGAATTAAAACATTGAATTGATTCTAAAAATTGGCGATCAGTGGTGCGATTATATTGCCATTCAAAACTTAATGATGATATTAAAAATGAAACATTAATTAACACAAATACTGGTCCAAAATTTCTAAAATCCATGAAAAATTTACAGATTCGCATTTTTATTTGACGAAATTGTAACCCAATTTTGAATAATATAAGATAAATTTGGCAACATCGTCATTCGTCGAGACGAGACGGCCTGTCGACAGCTCTTTTTGGAGGAGGAACAACTTACTAGCGTGATTACGCATGACATATCACAGAACTAGTTCTGTTCTGTAGAGATGAGCGTTGAATCACCGAACTGTTTTATTTTATTTGTCGTTAAAGAATCTACGTTTTCTCAATGGGAAGCCAACTACACTTCTCAACAATTGAAGTGGATATTATGAAAATGTGTATTTTATTTTTTGTTCATAAAGTTAAAAAGAAAAATGGAGTAATGTAAATAAAGATCTATTTTTACTTCGTATTTTCATACAAATGAAATACAAATGAACCGAAAGAAAGAAATTTAAAAAAAAATAGAAAATAAACAAAAATTGTAAAATAACAACCTGAAATTTCTATTCCTGCTCAATTTCTAATATCTCGAAAAGAAAAATGAATAGTGTGTGGGTCACCTTTGTGTCGCCTTAGTGCTTTAACTCTATTTAGAAGACCTCGTATTAATTTATTGATGAACTGCTGCGGTATACATTCCCAAATCGCGCGTAATGCAGTGGCCAACTGATCTAAGGTTTGGGACGGTTGAAGGAGTTTGTTTTGTTGCCTAAACATTTCGGCCCAAACATGTTCAATGCAATTCATATTAGGTGAACATGCAATTCACTGTACACTCGTTGACTATTCTCGCACGGTGAGGGCGAGCATTATCATCAATCAGAATAAATTGTTCGCGTATTACACCAAAAAATGGAACAACTATTGGTACTATGACTCTGTCTCGATATCGTGTAGCAGTCATTGTCTCATTAATTAAGACGACTAAGTCCGTGCGACCGTCAAAACATATGCCTCCCCACACGTAAACGGATCCACCTTCACAAAGAGTGGTTGAGACTCTCAGATTTTCATTGTAACGCTGTCCTCTTTCCCTCCACACCAATATTCGGCCATCATTCGTATACAAACGAAATCTGGACTCGTCAGTAAAGAGACAATTCCTTCTATTTTCGAAATTCCACTGATAGTGTTCCATCGCCCAGCAATATCTGCATGCACGCTGCTCCCTAGTTAGTCGTGGATGGGTAGCGCGCCGTCTAGCCCTTAAATTGGATGCATGTAACCGTCTTCTGACAGTTTGACTTAAAATCGCTCGTCCAGTCTGAAGATACTGTTCATTCTGGAAGCCGTGAATGTTGGTGTTTCTTCTTGCCGTTAAAACTACAAAACGGTCTTGCTGACGAGTTGTAGATCGTTCTCTTCCTCCTCCATGCCTGTATGTTGCAGATCCAGTTACTACATACCGATTCCATGCACGACTTATCACACTTTGCGACACATTTAGACTTATAGCAACCTCTTGTTGAGTTAGGCCTTGTTGGATCCAACGAACTAATTGCTCGAGCTGCACTAGTTCTAAACGTCTTTGCGGCATAATGTTTTTGTAATAAATAGATTTCTTGACTTATTGACAACTGGTAAAGCCAATACAAGCACTTTTATACGAATGATATATTCATGTTTGGAACAACATTTCTCTCTTTGTACGAGATAAGGGCCGATAAGAATAGGGAGAAAAAAACCACATGCAAAAAATATTGGAATTAAAGGTAGCATATAGAGTATAGTACAGGCAATTATTTTAAAAATAGTTTTATATGTTAATTTTAGGAATTTTAAGATTATCCACTTCAATTGTTAGGTAGTGTAGTTGATGGTGTCTGAAGTTGAAATCTTTATTGATAGTTCGTTAAAGGATTTATTTATTGTAAATATTCAATTAGGAAGTCTTTTTCTTAGTTAAAAGCATTTACCTACTACGAGCGTAATAATTGTATTTTCAAAAAATGC